AATGGCGATAATACGTCATCCTTTGAGAAAAAAGACCATTATATTGTTATTTTCGCTCGTCGACGGTTCTACCATCACGTTTCCCGTGTCGAATTCTTTCTCGAGCTTTCTAGATGGGAAGAGTATTTATGTTGATCATCCAGAGCAAACTTTGAGAAAACAATATAGAGGCTCACTAAAAAAACATTCAAATCAATAACCTGACCACTGAAAAAATGAGCATCATTTTACTATTAATTTCCTTTATTTAATTGTAAAAGGAACTATACATAGGGAGAAGCGAGGCATAAAAATCGAGTGGACTGTTTTAAAGAATCTTAAAAGGTATTTTGATCTGTCTTCTTTTGATGTAGAGCGTAGCCAGGGTAATCCGTAATTTTTATTTAATACAGCCGGATCTTTCGATCTTCAGCCTGATTTTTCGAGCTTTGAAATGCTTTCCAGTTATATCTCAGCAATTTCAATTTAACGAAGTAATTTTAGGCTTTTACGTGACGAATAGACATTTTATGATGCAATGATGAAATAGACATTTTAGGCGCCAGGTTTTAGTTTCTGTTACTGTTAATCCGAGATATGTGTTCATAATTTTTTTCGAGAACATAACTATGAACGAGAGCGAACTACTCTCAAGTGATGTTAACACTAAGAGAATTGCAATTTCCTTTCTACCTTGAAGAACAAACCCATCATATTGACGGGTATGAGTTTTTTGTTTAGCGAAACATTAACACAACCGCTTGAATTTTAACTGCAACTCCTGCATTGTTCAACAATTTTATTTATGGATGCCTTGAACAATAGGTAATAATATTTAACATACGGACAGCGTGCGATCTTCCCTACCTCCCCGTGGTCCCCTCGTCTCCACAGCATTCATTCATACTACATAACAGCGTTCATACTACAGGGTTCAAATCCTGACGGTGACGGAATTTCCGACTCTGGCTACACAGCTAGGTCGAATTCTGCCGCTGTCTGAAAGTGAATTCTAGAGGCCCGCTGCTCTGATCAGTAGTTTTCCGTTGTTTCTCTGATCAATACCAGGCGAATGTCGGAGCAGCCCCTAACAAACTGGCCACGGACCTCGCGCGATCTTTGCTTCCTCTTCCTTGTCCTGTTCTCACCCCTTTACTTACACCTACTCATACTTTACATGCACTACACTACCAAACATGTCGGGAGCTTAGAGCTTGTCGTGGTGCGGTATGTCTGTATGGGCAAAAACCGCGACTTGTAGGTTGGCGCCGCATCACGCCATTGAACGGGCGAAAATCACCACCACTTCGCGCGATAAAAACATACCCCACACTTTCGGGACCCTACACTTTCGGTGGCATTGACAGTTGACAAACCTGGAATCACTAATCAATCGAAAGCCAAATAATGAATATATCAACTTAGCGGTAGGTTTCCGTAAATTCTCAAATATTTAGTGGATATTGTAGTGAGAGCTGTGTGGCAGATCATGGGTTGCTGTGTGTTCCGCGCGGGACGAAGGGATGGGTACGGCGACCTGGGCGCAGCGCAGC